ATGAAATGTTTTTGAAAAACTTTGGTTTTACTGACCCACTCAATTTTGTTTTGCGCCCCTCCAGGTTCTAGTTAGCAGCGTTGGTGGCCCACGAGGATTCCCACGGCGTACTGACAGACTACATAAACGTAGGACTCACCTGCGGGTGTTGTAATTTAGTTATGGTCCTACTTGACTGCACCTAGTACTTATGCTCTGAATTTGTGTGTTTCAGACTTAAACTTACTCTAGCATGCTAGTTGGATATTATTGCTAGTAGTTGGTTTTTATTCCTTCGTATTTCTCTTATCTTTTGCTTCCACATCGCACTTTTGATTACATCATGCTCACGTGATGGCCAGCACGCCTTGATTCTAGGATTGGGGTGTGTCATAACAAAATTTTTTACACTCTCTCCTACAGTCAATCATACTCATAAGTGTTTTATCCTCTTAAAAGTTTGATTAAAACATTATAAAACACATCGAAAAATAACAATATAAAAGTAATTTAAAAATACCAAACACGTTAAAAGTTATAATAATTAATTTACAAGTGCAAAAAATGTGAAAAAATTAATATGCAAACGCTCGTGATTGTATCCTCTACGCTTTGAGATGGGGACATCATCATTTGAATTTTTAAAACCTTACAAACCCTCATGAATAGTATTTTAGGGGGTTCAAAATAAATAAAAATTCATAATAATTAATGTACAAGTGTGAAAAATGTGAAAGAATATAAAAACATTCATGATTGCATCCTCTATATGTAACAATGGTTACATCATCGTTTACATTTTTAAAACCCTTTAAACCCTCATGAATAGTGGTTTTTTATATTTAAGTGCAAAATTAATAAAATTCATAATAATTATTGTAAAAGTATGAAAAATGTAAAAAATAAAATAAAAATATACACAACCACTCGTAGTGACAAGCTTTACAACTTTCATGAATGGGTCAACTCTAAAATCCGACACCATAATCGATAAACCCTTAGATTTATATTTAACCGTCGATTCTCGTACGTTTACACTTTATTCTTCTTATTGAATTTCAAATTTTCTTTTTTGGGAACATCATCTTTTAGTGGATGTAGAAAAATGAACGATCGAATCATTGATATCATGTTCCAATATTTACGGTGAACTGAAATATAAGTCGATATTATATAGTTTTTAGAGACTTTATAAACTTTGAGCAATCTTTTCACTAACGGTAAAACTCTGGATGTAATATGAACTGTCCCGAATCGTTCATCTTCCTACATCTTTTGATAGATCATGTTTTCCAAAAAGAAAACCTGAAAAAAAAAATTGGTGAGAAGAATTTCGATCTATAGTTTATTTGATTATAATGGCGACTTTTGAAGTTGAGCAATTTCACGAAAGTTGTTAAACTTATCATTACGAGCGTTTATATATATATTTTTTAAAAATTTCACACTTAATTAATATTTATGTGATGCTTGAAAGACAAAGGTGCTTGACAACTATTATTAGCACTCCAAAAAGCATATTCTACACTCATCATAAGTGTATTTTTCTTTCTAATTATAGAAAGTTTGGAGTGTCAAATGAGGTTTTTAGAGTGCTAATAACAATTCCCATGTGTTTTTATGTTTTGAAGAAATTTTTATGTGGCAATGTGGAATGTATATACTAATTTAGTATTATGTTTTTCATTTGATTATTTATTGGTGTAAATACATTTTCTTTAACAGGTAACGGATCAGATCATATTACTTATTTATTTTAACGAGTATTACACTAACACGACACTATCTATTAAGATATTAGATATGACATAAAAATAACATAAATGCAGAAAACACGACATAAATATTAACGATAAGCCTAATGATCATGGGCCGAGCCCATGCCGGACCATCAGCCGCCACGAACTGAATCCAGGAAATCCTTCCGTTCGTTGGGGCCCACCTTCCACCACCACCGGCACAGAAACACACAAATACATCCCAGCTGACTCTACTCTAACGCTGTCACCTCGCTCGTTATTCATCGGCGCGGCGGCTGAGCGAATGGTTGGAGCCGGTTTGTTTTAATTCGATTTAATATTCCGTATTTATGGAGAGGTGTCGCCATCGTAATCTCTAGGGTCGGTCCGTCTGTAGGGCCCAGTTTATGAGGGTAGAGAAATAAAATACACTAGAAAGTAGAACAATTGCGGACCAGCCAACCAGAGCCCGCGTGCAGTTGCTGGTGAATATATGATATTAATAATACGAAAATATTTTATTGATAATACAAAAGTTTTGTATTAATTCTTTTTCCAGACCTTAAAAAAGTTTCCTTATAGAACTGTTGTATTAATAAATTTGCACTCTTTGGATGAAATTTTTTATTTATTCTTTTGTAACGGGATGCCCTGGGTTTTGCTTGTTTTGAGGATTTGGAATGCGGGTCTCTGGGGTTTTGGAGATGGTTGCTGAGGAAGGTGTTAAATACTGTTGTCAGTGAGAAAAAAAAATATTGACAAATTAAACTATAAGTAGGAGAATATTGTGAATATCTCTGTAAGTATGGAGAATATCTGTGTAAGAATAGTAGGCAATTTTAGAGAGATTATCTATTTGAACGATATTTTGTAGACAATATGATATCGTGGTTGATTATTAGTCTTTCTTTAATCATTTAAAGAAAAAATTCAAACCATCAATCAGATGGTCTACAAAATATGGTTTAAAAATATAGTTTAATTAAAATAATGTCATACATCTAATACATTGTTGCCACATATTCAACCAGTGCATCTCTCATCTAATATATGTTTGCCATGTTGGTGCCTTGATTACATGAGAGTTTCTCTTCGAAATCACGTTCAAGTAATAAATAATTCATGAACTTGAATTTTGTTATAATATATTGAGGTAATTCTTATAAGTAAAATATTTATCATGTGTACATGTTCAGAAACCTTTAATTTCAGTTAGTAATTGGATCGATTTTAAGTCATTTGACAAGCATGCATGTTCTAATAATGATACACACACACACATACTTTTCTCTTTCTGATTAAATTCAACAAAAAAAGTTTAATTTGATAACGGAGAATGTAATCACATATCACATATGGGATGAATGATATTTTTAATTGTATTAATTTTTTTTTTTCACAAACCCAACAGAACAGGCATACATTGGATAGATGAGCTAAATTTCTTAATATATGATGAGATAATTAGGGCTAAAATGTGTGTATATATAATTTTTCTCACTTAGAAGTTAGGAAAAGTTTATCACCACTAGTAGAAAAACATGTTTGCGCGACGAAACCTTGCGCGACGTAGAGCATTTCGTCACGCAAAGTATGTTTGCGCGACGACAACACACAGGACGTCGCGCAAATGGTCTTTGCGCGACGGTACTTTGCGCGACGTAGTAATGCGTCGCGCAAAACAGTTTTGTGCGACGAAGGTACAACTACGTCGCGCAAAACAGTTTTGCGCGACGTCTTGTGCGTCGCGCAAGAGTTTGGCGCCAAACCAAGCTTGTTTTACCGCTTTTTTCGAACTTTGCGCGACGCAGGTTCACTACGTCGCGCAAAACTGTTTTGCGCGACGCATTATGTACATCTTGCGTCGCGCAAAACAGTTTTGCGCGACGTAGTGAACCTGCGTCGCGCAAAGTCAACACGAAAATATACCTTTTTGTCTTTCTTTCCAGTGTTCTAACACTAGTCAAACAGCTAACTGCCTTCCCCTCTTCCTCACCTACAGACCTCCATAGCTGCTGATCACACTCAGGTGATTTAAAAAACCTCTATGTTATTTATCCATTTTTTTATATATGATTGTATTGAATTTTTTGTTAATATTACCTAATATATTGAAAATTTTGATCTCCTTATTACCTAATATATTGAAAATTTTGATCTCCTTATTACCTAATATATTGAAAATTTTGATCTCCTATTGATGATGGCACATGATCTTCCCTTCACCAAATTATCTTATGGTGTCTGAACAAATAAATGGTGGGATCCTAAATATAGCTCTATTTGCCTAGCAGTAGCAGACTATGTATGACTATTGTTAATATAACCTAAGCTTTCATGGCAGGGAAATGGTGGGAAACCCGATCATTACTTACCCAAAAAGCTTACGAGAATTAAGATTACCGTCTAAACTGGAGTTCATTATTTGGGATTAAACTATGCCATTCACAGTCACAAAACATCAAAACTAGAAGGAAGTAAAGACAAATATTAGACAATGAAGATAAGAAGTTGTAAAAAATCCCACTACTCAAAAGGATAAAAAAGGGTTACTCATGCCAACTAGGATTTGCAATCAACTTGGCAGTTGTAAAACTAGAAAAATGTTTTAAACAACAAGTAAAAGAAGAGAATGGGATAGGAGTGTAGGTCCTTCAAATGCGATGACATGTGTTTTAATGTTTTCACATGACATCGGATTTTAGTTTAGAATGTCACAGACTTACGATGGAGATGTAAGAAACAATTGAGACGCCATTGTTGGAAGAAATCAAACCCACCAAGCACTGTCACGTAGAGAAAGTTAAAATACATGACAATACTTAATTGGGTTAGTTTACTCCACAGTTGCGTCCTAGTTGTAAGTTCGTTCTTGTGTCAACGGGGTTGCTTATTGTTCAATCTAGTTTTTGGCAACCATTCCAAACTGATTAGCACATAGAAGTAGCAGATCATCACTCTGTACACAAAATACTGTAGCAAGACTTTGGATGAATATTTGTTAATCAAAATTGCTAAATTTTATTAAATGCAAAACTCAAGTTACAACAACCTTATATACGAGCTACGTTTTTACAGAGGTAAACTCAGAGCAGTTTGTTTTGATTATTTAAGAAAATTCGTCTTCATCATCGGAGGCCGGCAAACCTTTGAGCACATCTGTTAATGCATAGTAATGGCTCACACACTTGCGGTCAGTTATTATGTTGCTTGAAAGCACAATCCTCTTAAAATGCTCCGCTGCTGCTGGTACGAGCATCCACATTCCTCTTTAGGCAGTAGATGGTACCTAGTACAAATAATTCCTCAGGCACTTTACAAGCAGCTCCTCCACTTTTAATACCACCAGCATTATATGTTACTTCTCTTTCATTTAAAGGGACCCCGGGACCAGTAGGAATTTTCTTTATGATGAGAGCAGTAGGAATTTTCTTTATGATGGGACCATCTGTTCAGACACCATAAGATAATTTTGGTCATGTTGGAGTTTTTTGGGATTCAATTTGTAATTGATCTTTATTAATTTTATCTATTTTATTTAGCTTTAGTAATTATTGTGATTTAATTTATTTGTATGCACAAATTTTTGTACATCACGTACAAAATTGTTTTGTGTTGTACGAAATTAATACTACTTAACTTTGTACACTTTTTTTTAAGAAAAGCTTAGTTTCCCGTTTGAGAATTCGTTGGATTTCGTGTATGGATGCGAAAGCATGACTGCGGTCCAATTAATTCTTGAATTGTCCCATTTTATGGACAGTTTTGGGAATACATAGTTATGTGTTGTAGTTTGCGGTTCACGGATTAGGTTTCGATAGTGGAAATTTTGGTAACATTTCCTGTTGTTCTTCGAGTACACGGTGGATATTATGTATCTATCTACGGCGTGCACTTGAAGAACTGTAAGGAGATGCTGCCGAAATTAGCCCACGTCGAAATTTAATCCATTGGAATCGTAAATTACGACACATAACTGTGCATTCCTGAATGGGATAGGGCCCTTACCGGAGGAATAAGGTGACAATACAATAGTTGAAGTTGTTGTAACTCTTGTACTTTTATTGGGATTGCAGACAAAATGGACAAACGGTGGATACATAATCATAATAGATGTGATGTTGAGTACTTGGATGGAATAGATAAGTTCACTGAATTTGCAACTAGACACAACCCAGATTCAACTCATATCCGATGTCCATGTAGAAGGTGTAACAACTCAATGTGGGAGACATTCGAAAATGTTCGATTTCATTTAGTAAGAAATGGGATGATGGAGACCTATACTACTTGGTATCATCATGGAGAACGATTAGATCAAGCTTCGTCTTCATACGTGACACAAGTGGACACTGTTGAATCTAATGTGGATCCTAGTGAACAAGTTATGAATATTGTAAATGACGTTTATCCATACGCCTCGAGCAACACCAATCAGGAAGGGGGAGATGATGTTCATCCAACCATGGACAGTGAGGAATTTAAAAACTATGAAAAACTATTGAAAAATGCCAAGCAAGAATTATATCCGGGTTGCGAGAACTTTTCGGTGCTCTCAGCAATTGTAGAGTTGATGCATGGAAAAATCAAGTTTCGTTTGTCAAACAAGTGTTTTGATTACTTTTTGGGAGTTATCAAGAGGATGCTTCCAAAGGAGAATTGTTTACCTGAAGATCATAAAAGTGCCCAAAAAGTGTTGAAGGGTCTTGGATTGGGGTATGAAAAAATTCACGCATGTGTAAATAATTGTATATTGTTTTATAAGGAGAACAAACAGTTGGATACATGCCCTATCTGCAATGAGCCAAGGTTTAAAATGACATCACAAAATAGAAAGACCAAGATTCCACAAAAAGTAATGCGTTATCTTCCATTGAAGCCTAGGTTGCAACGATTGTACATGTCGATGCATACGGCAACCGACATGAGATGGCATAAAGAAGGACGGGTAAATGACGATGTTATGAGGCATCCTGCAGATGGAGAGGCATGGAAAGAATTCGATCGGATGTACCCTGATTTTGCAGCTGACCCGCGAAACGTCAGATTGGGACTTGCCACTGATGGATTTAATCCGTTTGGGGTTTTTAAACCTAAACCACAGCACTTGGCCAGTCGTCGTTTTTCCTTATAATCTGCCGCCTTGGAAGTGCATGAAAAAAGAATACATGATGTTGACTTTATTAATGAGCGAAGATCTAGGAAAGTCCATTAATGTTTATTTGCGGCCGTTGGTTGATGAGCTAAAAGATTTATGGGAAAACGGTGTTCGTACATACGATAAGTATACTGGGCAGATGTTCACCATGCGAGCGGCAGTGATGTGGACAGTAAACGATTTTCCCGCCTATGCAATGGTTTCTGGGTGGATGACTAAGGGTTATTTGGCATGTCCAATATGCAAGGAGAACGTAACATCGTCTTGGCATGCGAGAAAAGTTTGTTATCTTGGTCATCGTAGATGGCTCCCTTGGGACAACGAGTGGCGTCATAACGATAAAGCCTTCCATGGCACAAAAGAGACTCGGCTAAGACCAAGAGAATGGTCCGGAGATGAGATTTTGGATCAGTTAAATAGTTTGGAATTTGGTCATTTCGGCAAAGGGGTCAGTCAGCCCAGACCAACTACACATCTAAACTGGACGCACAAGAGTATGTTATTTGAGCTCCCGTACTGGTCAAAGTTAAAATTGAGACACAACCTAGATGTTATGCATATTGAGAAAAATGTGTTTGATACTTTGGTCGGGACAATTCTAGACATTGAAGGAAAAACGAAGGACACGATTGAAGCTCGCCTCGATTTGGAACGAATGGGCATTAGGTCATCCATGTGGATGCAGAGTGTCGGTGGTACAATGAAGAAAGGCCATCCTTTTTTTACAGTTAAGCCAAATGGGAAGAAAGAGTTTTTCAACTTTATTTCTTCTGTAAAGTTTCCAGATGGGTATGCTTCCAATATCTCGCGTTGTGTGAATGTGAAGGGGTGTAAATTTTCAAACATAAAGAGTCATGATTGTCATGTGATACTCCAACGCCTTCTTCCGGTTGGTATTCGACACTTATTGCCTCTTGATGTGGTGAAACCAATCGTGTTGTTGTCGAGATTTTTTTCGCAGTTGACTGCAAGGTGTTTGCGAAAGTCAGATGTTAAACAATTGCAGGAAGACATTGTGAACGTCTTATGCAAATTTGAACAGATATTTCCCCCAGCTTTCTTTACAAGTATGATTCACGTGATGATTCACTTGCCAGATGAGGCATTGCTTGCCGGACCAGTGAACTGTCGATGGATGTATCCAATAGAAAGGTAATTAAGCGCGTGTGTGTGTGTGTATATATATATATAACAAATTCATGATCAACGAACGCTTTGAATAATTTGTAGCATACCTTTTATTTGTGCAGATATATTGGTGAATTGAAAAAGTGTGTCCGAAACAAGGCAAAGCCCGAAGGATCACTGGTGGAGGCATGGGTCGCATATGAGTCACTTACTTTTTGTGCAATGTATCTTCAAGATGTTGAGACAACTTTCAATCGTCCTCAACGCAATAATGACGGTGGTGTCAGAAAAGAGAAACTGTCTGTTTTTGCCCAAATTTCGCGACCATTCGGCGATCCTGTAAAAGGCGAATCGTTTACCAAAAATGACATGGAGGTAGCGCATTGGTTCATACTCAACAATTGTCACGAGGCTTTGCCATACCTTGAAGAGCATGAACGGTTGATGAAGCGGGAACATCCTTCACATTTATATGCGAAGAAGCATCGTGATTTGTTTCCTTCGTGGTTTCACGCACATGTAAGTTTTATGTGGTTTGAATTAAGCATATTTTCCAACTTGTTCATGCCTGTCTTTAAATTTGGTTACATTAACAAGTTAACTTTTTGTATATGTTATATTAGATGAACAAATTGAAGGAATTGAATTCACCCTCTTACGATGAAGAATTATATAACTTGGCGAGAGGACCACTTCATGTTGAATTGTTCTCGGGTTGTCATGTAAATGGGATCAAGTTCTTAGGGGCAACACGTGATGACAAGTTGTCTACTCAAAATAGTGGTGTCCATGTCCCAGGTGCTGGCGACAGTGAAGACATTGATTTCTATGGCAAACTAACTTGTGTAGTACAATTGCTTTACAAAGACAGGTGTCAAGTGATACTGTTTAAGTGTCTTTGGTTTGATACAAACCCACATAACCGAACGAGTGTTAAGCAAGATCATGGTTTACTATCAGTAAACACTACGAGACATTGGTACGATGAAGACCCATACATTTTGGCAACTATGGCGAAACAAATATTCTATCTAGACGACCCTAAAGCCGGCAATGGTTGGAAAGTTGTTCAGAAGATTGATCGAAGAGGGCTATATGATATTCCGGAACTAGATCATGATGATGAGAACGACGACAATGTCGCTGACCAACAGTTATCATCTTCGATAGAAATTGGTGAAGAAACACTTCGGGATACTAATATTGTCCAAGAACCGTTTGACGTACCTGGAGTTCCCGAATTCGAAATATCAATTGACCTTGGTGATCTACCTCAATACAATGCAGCGGAAAAGGCAAACGAAGATGAGGACGAATGGGAATCCGGAAATGGTAGTAGTGATGATAGTGAGAGTTATTATTGTAGTTCGGATGAGGATTAATATAAACTTGTGAAGGAAAAAGCAGGAGGCTGAGGGTTTAACACCGCTTCTCATCTACCACACTAATATTCCCAACAAATTATCTCATCGTCTCCATTCTATAAAGATAAAGATATCATGTAAGTTGTATGTTTTATGTTATCTCTTTATATTTGTTTTACTCTTAGTTGCATTTGATAATTGCGTTATTATGACAATTTTTCAATTGCATGATTGATTTTTTTTTCTTTCCTACATCAGGTTGTCATTGTTGCATTTTTGACATGGCTTGGATGGTTCATCCCTGGAGAATTTGGTCTTTTTTCCGGAAAACTAGATACCAAAAGGCATGGATAAATTTGAGCTGGCATTACAATTCGGTATCTCAGTATTAGTGGTTGCTTGCCCTTTTGCCATGGGACTAGCAATCCCTACGGCAGTAATGGTTGAAACAAATTGCTTTTCAATTTAGAATCTGGGTTTTCAACTTTTCATGCATTTTATTTTCATGTTTTTTTGCTGGTGTACCTTCATTATACTTGTTCCTACTTACTTTTCCTTCCGATGACGTCGAAAACCTGTTTGTTTTGGTATTAGGAAAAGACAATTACTGATTAGATACTATCCATATGTCTGAGGGTGCAAGTGTATTGGGATTGAACATGCAACAATCATTTCATAGTTGGAATCTGTCTCATATGACTCTTTGGTTCTGACGATTGGTGGCCTTGTCCATGTCAAGCCATACTCGCCAAGTTTTAGATCCCAGTTTCTTGTAGATAACAGCTCTCATTGAGGGAGAGTTCTCCCCAACTCCTTTTCTGATAACAATGTAAGAATTCATGTGATTTCATCATTCTTGAATTCATATATGTGAGTTCATCAAACTGCCGATTGCAGCTGAACTTGGTAAATGAGCTGTATATATGGTTAGACTTCTTAAGGTTTTATATTCGAATGAAGTAAAACATACTGGAGGGAAAAATGTGATTAAGCCATGTTTGAATTAATGAAGAACAGTTGGCTTAATAATAACTGAAGATAACTGCATTATTAATGGGATAAGGCAGTTATCAGATATAGAATGGGATTGGTCCCTCTTCTCGGTATAAATATGGATGATTCACAGTTAAGCAAGGTTGCCCCATTTGAAACCTAATACATCCATTGTAGTCGTACAAGAGAAGGGAAGATACATCCTAAAACAGATCATGGCTTCAAGTTCAGGTTTGCATGCTTATTCATGTATATCAGTCCATGCATTGATTTTGGTATAATTGGGGTTCTGCCGCTCAAGCGGTGGTCTCTGCCGCTCAAGCTGTAGTTCTGCCGCTCAAGCGGTGGTCTCTGCCGCTCAAGCTGTAGTATGACTGAGTTCTGCCGCTCAAGCGATAGTCTCTCTGCCGCTCAAGCGGTTATCTATTGCAGTAAATCTTAGTGTTTATCAAATATGCCATTTGTGTTGATTTACATGTAGTTTAGTAACTTGATTGATTGGATCCTGAATTATATTAATTTTAATAAACAAGGCTAATAATTGTTTCGTTCTTTCTTTTTGTTTTTTTTTTTTCCTTTCTAAAATTAAAAGTTGAACAAAAGGGCATGAAGGTACCTAAGTCATGAAGGTTGATAAATTTTTTAGCATTTCACACTTTATTGATGTCTGGACGTTTACGTTTACTGACGTTACTGACATGTGTTTGATCCCTGCAGGTGAACACGGTTGTCTTTGATATAACAGGAACTCTGACAGTTGGGAAACGGTAGTTAATGCAGTGCTCGTTTCCAATTACTCAATTGAGGAGTTCTGTGCTGTATCTATTGCCACAGAGGTTGGTGCTTATATTTCAAATTTGTACATTAAAAGCTTCATTTGCTTAGTTGCATTAAAAATGTTAGTGTTTGTAGAGTAGTTAGGATGAAAACCTCTCGGAGGCTCTGACCTTTTTCAATTACACTCTCACGATGCAGTTTCCAGCTCATAGCAAGGGAAGGACGCCATGGGAGCCTCTTTACAGGCCTGCTGCGGGCGCCAGAAGTACGTCGAAACCGGACGCAAAGTCCACAACTTGGTCTCTGCGTTGACCGTTTTCAACTGTGATTTTGTTCTCAACACACGCATCATTACCATGTGCAATGTGCGGTTCTCCTTTGGATTCCCGCTCAGTTTTCGACGGGCTGAAGAGGAAGAACTTGTTCCAGTGGAATGCGCTTGTTAGTGGGTATGCAAGAAACGAGCTTTTTGTTGATGCCATTGATGTGTGTGTTTGTGGATTTGATCAATAGATGGGACTGATTTCGGATGTGTTTGTAGGCAATGCGTTGATTGCAATGTATGGGAAATGCGGGTCGGTTGAGGATGCAGCTAAAGTGTTCGAGATAATGCCTGAGAAGAATTGTGATTTGTTTGAATTGTAAGAGGCTGCTAAAGACGTTTGGATCAACTGAACATGTGATGGAGGCTAAGGATTTTGAGGTGCA